GTCTTACGACAGTACGCAGCGCTGTCACCTTTGCATCCGTGCCCCGAATTCATTCGGCGCACGGATCCATAGCTGCCAGCGCTGCATACTGTCGTAGGACGTTCCCGCGGTCGCGTGCGCCTTGCCGCGGAAATGCGCGCAAGATCTGCGCTTAGCGCTTTGGATTAACACCTCCTTTCGGCAACGCTTTTCTAGTATCCCGTCTCATCTTGATCCGCCCCTGCTATAGCTGTGTTAACGTCTATGTTTTCTCTTGTTATCGCGTAGGTCTACATACGTGCGCACGTACGTATGTAGACACATTGTACGAACGCACGCACGCACGCGCGCACGCACGCGCGCACGCACACATACATACAAAAACACGCACCCACACACGCACGCACACACGCACACACACGCACGCACACACACACACACACACACACACACACACACACACTCCAACACACACCATAGCTGCGGGGATGATGTATAAATGTGTACCTAAGCGAATGAGGATCGTGTGAGAATGAGTGCAAACAGAGACCCTGCCTTGGGGAAAAATGACTGCTGTTACGTTTCACGGATGCACACCTGCTTCAGATGATCATTTGCCTGCATCCATGCACTACTGCATTACCTGGTGGATACGTGCTAGGGAAAGGAAATTAGAACTACTCATGATACTAAGATGTAGTAACAACTAACCTAACAGCATCCAAAATAAGAAGAACTCTCCAAACCTGGTCTTTAACATGATGTAATATAATATATCATTATAAATCAGTGCACAATAACGTATTTTATGCAGAGATTTTCACAACATCGTAAAATACTGTGAGGTATAAAACATTGTGCCTTGCTTTGCAGCACATTAGTCATTAGCGCTAGTCTAGTGATGTCCTCGCACAGCACTGTATTACATAGCTAGGAAGGGCCAGTGCCGCACAGTCACCGCTCAGTACATATGCGAAGCATCTCCTTTAGGTCTGTTAGCTTCTCTCTGGGCTTCCCCCGCTCACGCCCCCTCTCTATCTCCACCGCATCTATCCTCTTCCAGTCGTCAAACGATACAGTCTGTACACCTGCAAAACAAACAACAAAACATTCGCTGCGTTAAAAATACAAGGCAGCAATAAAAACACGTCTTTCATAAAATTCAAAGAATAAAACTAAAACAATATAATATAGTACCCTTGGGTTAATCCTTATTTACTCAAACTGACTACAAATTTTGTGTGTGTTCCATAGTATATTCACAGAATAAAAACCTGCATGTGAAAACGTTTCATACATAGAGAATTAGACCATCTCATGAAATACATCAAATCTTCTATTTCACTAACTAACCTTTGACCTTTGACCCTAATCTATAGTAGTTTTACCACATGAAATCAAGATTATCATTATATAGTCTATAATATGACACTCCTGATAAAATCACGTCTAGTAAATGAACATCTTGAAGTCCTTGCTCCTCATGAGAAAAATCTCAAACAATTATTGTTGTTAATGAAAACAACATCGCATAGTCTCGACTTCACGAAGTGAGAATAAACTCCAATAAAAAAGCCGATAATTTAAAGATACTCGGTGAATGTATCGTTTCATTAAAACATCGCCGAAAATTAAATAGTCACTTCCTCCATCACATTCTTCGCACTCCGCACGTATCGACACGATCTGGCAGCATGCCAACGTTAATTTGATGCCACAAGATCACGCTTGCTAAATTTTACCAGCCAAACTCGCTGTAGTCGTCGTCAGCGCGTGGTACGACCTTCAACCGAACGCAGGCAAACACGATGAATGACCCAGCATCAGTCAGTAACCTCCTACAACGAACTACTGCCACTCGACGCTATAACCGTAACATTCCATCAGCTTCGCTTGATATCTGTGCACAGGCACTTGGGACAGAGTCAGTAACAAGAGCCGCAGTGCGACAGGGCTCATCTGGTGTCTGGTGTTCTGCTGATAAATTCATTTGTGCATAGCAAGACGTCTTATACATAAGTCTTCTTTATTCTTGTTTGACTTTCGTAGCCAATTTGCGAGCAACAAATCTGATAGATGTTTGAAGGCCTTTGACCTTCGGCCTTTCGCCGTGCGTCCGTGAGTGCCATTAGTGATCGCTCTATAGGAGATTAAACACGGAGGCTAGATCAAATATATGCGCTCTCCCGCCTTAAGTGCCTGCTCGGGTCTACCACGGATAGATTCTCTATACCCTGCTTTCGGTTATGTTGACGCGCGACCCATATCGCAATTTCTTCATATAGGCCCTGCGGCGACAAGGAAAATCTTACGAAAAACCTCGGGATGTTTCGAGATGAGAGCAAACTAACAATTATGAGGGAGACGGGAGGGGGAGGTTGCACGCATGCACGCAGCGACGGTCCGTCTGTCAATCTGTCTCAATGTGCTTCTACACGCGACGTACGTAATCACGCCATGCGTCGCCACGGCTCATGCACCCACGCACACATATCTCCCTCACCGCAGCTAGGCTTCGTCTTCTTGCCCGAATCATATTACAACCAGTGCTGACTAGTGGTGATATGCGCTGGTGATGGCACACACGAGAGCACTCTTGCTAGTAGTCGGATAATGATGCACGCGCATGCGGCCGAACAAAGAAGCGTTTGTCGTACTCGTCTCGTAATTGCTCGCGGAAGAATGTCTCATATCAGATTAATCTCGTCGCTGGCGTGTATTTAACAGAAGCAGTGCAGTCGCAGCACCGCGCATGCGCGCCTGTGTGTATAGAACGAAGAGCTATATGAAGAATGAGTATTCTAATTTATGGCCAGTGCCATGAAATGATATTGCCTGACGTCCCCGCCAAAGGATGCGCGTACGGGGGCGAATAAGTAAAGATAGCGAAAGAGAGAGAGAGGGGGAGAGCGAGCGAGGCAGGGAGTCAACAATGGGAGCTGCAAGTTAACGTTAGCTATTCACGTATGGAAGAGCGTGGACCACAACGCAGACGAGCGGATATTGAAGCCGGCTATAGAAATTGTCTTCCCTCTGTTGCAACAGCGACCAGTAGATAGTGTCTCGCCTCTGATGCAGCAACCCGGCAGTTCATCGGTAACGGTTACCGCCGTTTTCGCGTGCGTTTTCGTTTCTCCTCCTCTTTCTCCTCTTGTCCCTTCACATCATTCTCCGTCCCCTCCAACTTCTTCCACTCTCTCCCTTCCCCTCCTTCTCCTCCTCCTCCTCCTCCGCTTCCTCTTCCTTGCCCCTGCTCCTTCTCCTACATAACCTCGTCCTTCTACTTCCCATTCTCCTGTATTTCTATCATCACGCTTCTGTTCTTCCCTCGCCTCTTTTATCGCCATTCTTCGCCATGTTTCGCGTCATCGTTCTCAATTTCCATCTCTTCTAACTTCCTGTTTTCGTCGTTCTTGGTCGATTTTCCCATCTATCACTCGTTACAAGCGATGACTTGCTGGATTACGGTGTGCTTGGCTGACACCATAGAGGGCGCGCGTGAGCTGAGAGGGGTGCGTGGGCACCGGGAGGGGCTCACGGGGTTGAGCACACGTGACATGCCCATAGAGGGAGCGCGGGAGCTGAGAGGGGTGCGTGGGCACCGGGAGGGGCTCACGGGGTTGAGCACACGTGACATGCCCATAGAGGGAGCGCGGGAGCTGAGAGGGGTGCGTGGGCACCGGGAGGGGCTCACGGGGTTGAGCACACGTGACATGCCCATAGAGGGAGCGCGGGAGCTGAGAGGGGTGCGTGGGCACCGGGAGGGGCTCACGGGGTTGAGCACACGTGACATGCCCATAGAGGGAGCGCGGGAGCTGAGAGGGGTGCGTGGG